GTGCTGTGCAGCCGGCTCTGGGTGACCTTGCTTGGGCAGGGGGTTGGGCTGGGTGACCCACAGAGGTCCCTGCCAACCCACGAACATTCTGTAGTTCTGTGATTAGGATAATTAATGTGTGTATGGCGACGGGTCTGTCTTGCCTGGTGGGACAGCCGGACACGCTGCCGTTACCGAGTGTCGTTATTCCGGGCTGCGGCTGACATCACTGATTCCCCTGAGTCCCTTCAGACGTATGACCAAGAGGGAGTCGCGTGGCTGCATTAATTTTTCACACCCTTTTGGGCTACATCCCAGCGCCGGAGGGGCTCAGCCCTGCCTCTAGGAGAGAGCAGCTTTGGTTTCATACACCGATGCACGAAGGCGTTTGTAAGGCGTGAGGAATCCTCCTCATCTACGAATGCCATGTTTTTTCACAATTAATCTGTCAGAACTCATAGCTGAATTTAAGTGGCAGAAGCGCCTTCCCGAGAAGATGTTACCAATCCTGATTTCCTGCGCTCAACCCCTTTTCTTTACGCACAAAAAACTTGCAGCAGCGAGCCAGGACCTCACCGCACGCCACGCAAAACCCGTGGCAGATTGCTCGGATGCGAGGCCAAAGGCAGCCGGCAGCGGGGCAGCGGCGGGGAGCAGCAGATAGAGAAGGGATAATCTTTTTTTTGAGACAGTCCAAGCAGGAAAGCAGTGACTCGCCAGCAACGCCCTACATTTCGCTCAGCCGCTCCGCTTTCCGCTCGCCGCGGAGGTGCTGCCCTTCCCCGGGCCGGCGTTTAATCTTGCACGGCTTCGGCTGAAGCTGGCACGCGCTTGGATGCTCGGAATTCAAACCTCGGGCTGAATTCCTGGCCCTTTCCACCCCATTTGGGCGTCGTGAATGAAGGTAGCGGCGTAAGGGGGTGTCGGGGTAGGCTGCTCCTCCAGAGAATTTTGCCATTCCTTTTTAGCTGGTTTGGGGGCGAAGTAATCCTTGTGCTTAACCTGATGTAAAGATTATGATATTAAAAACAAAAAAAAAAGGTCCCAAAACAGTGCATTGCGGAAAAACAGACGAGGCTGAACCGGCTTTGCGGTGCCAAGAGCCCCACTCGCTCTGCGCTCGGTGGCGGGCGCAAGGAGGGGGACGTTGCCCCCGCGCAGGGCTCCCAGCACGCCCGGGGCTCCCGGCGTACGCCCGCGGCGCTGCCCCCCTCCCCGCGGGGGTTTTGTGGGCC